TTCAATCATCTCAGTTGAATCAGAGTCTTCTTGAATAGTGGAAAGCTCTATTTGTGGATGCTCATCCTCTTGAGTAAGTTTGTTCTCACAAGGTATCTCCTCCATATATTCACCATTATAACGCAATGAGATTTCTGAAAGTATACTTACTAATTGACTCACTCGCGTTGTTAGGTACTTAATAGCTTCATCATTTTGCATAAACCTTTCTTCAACACTATTCATGAACTTATACATAAGTTCTTCTAAACTACCATTCTCCTCTTGAGGTGGTTTTCTCACTTTGCTTTCATTCAAGTCATAATAAGGGTATTCATCCCAACCAGAGTCAGAATTGTGCCCATATGAATCCTCATACCTATACGAACTAGAAACAGAGTGAGACTACTCAAAATACGAACCATACGAAGAACACATACCTGCTTGAAAGTCAACCCATAGATGATTTCTACCGCATTTAAAACACACAGCAGACCGCTGATAATGTTCAGCTGCTGACTCTTCAACCGTTTTCTTAGGCTGGTTGTACTCCATCTTCACAGGATTTAGAGTTCAAAATCTACAGTATCTTCTCCAACTTGTTAGGTACTACAAAACAAATCTTGAAAAGAAGTTAATTAATAAAGAAAATAAAATAAAAAAGGGAATAGAATATATATATATATATATATATTCCTGAATTAGCACCAAAAACTATTTCAAACACTATTAATTGCCAATCCCCGGCAACGACGCCAAAATTTGACGAGTGCAAATCACACGCTTAAGTATGCTCGCTAGTCGAATATAGTATAATATAATATCGTATCCATAGTGATTAGAGTTAAACAATATTATCGTTGTTTGTAGCTAGATTTCTATCCAAGATAATCAACGGTTTAGAATTATGTTATTAAAAACTAAAATTAACTAAGAATCTAAAGCTAATTGACGAATGACAATCGAAACAAAAGTAAGCAAGGAAGATATCAATGGGAGAAAATAAGGGTTGATAGGATAGGTGCAAGATAATTGTTTGGGATCTAACTCTAGATAATTAATTTCCAATGTTCAAGTGAGTCTCTCGAATTTACTCAATTATTAGTTCAAATGTTTAGTAGAAACTCCTCTCTCGATTAAGTCTCAACCTCACAAGATGAACTAGGTTAAGCTCGGTGAATATATGCAAGAATTCGTAGTGGATTGGTCTTTGAGAGAACCTCTCTCGATTATCTTCCTAACTAGGTTTAATCAACAATTCAACTAGTCTCTTTCGATTACTAAGAAGAATTAATGAATTCAACCAACAAAATAATGCAAGGATATCACAAGTTATGCCTCTCTTTATTACATGAACATGTGAATATAGATGCAACTATTAAAACATCCAAAATGATTCAATATATAAAAACTAGAGTTATAATCCACAAACAAATATCAATACACCAAATCCATCAAACCCTAAAAGAGAACTACTCCATAGATATGGAGTAATTCATCACAAATATGTTTAAAGTAAAGGAAAACATAAAACGATCCAAACCCGTGTCTTGAGTGAGGATTGAATGATGAACTCCTTGTGCTTTTGCTTCTCCCTCTCCTACTTAGCCTCATTAGGTCTTAGATGTGTTAAAAGTCCCAAAAATAACGTTTTTACATGTATTTATACCAAGTAGGGTCGGGCCCAGACAGAACACCTTTTCCTACGCGAAATAGAATTCTAGCTCTGTAAAAATTATACAGGCGCACCGCATGTGGCGACGCACCACGCAGGGAATTAGTAGGGAAATCCAGAGAGCTAGTTCTGACAGGCAGCATGACTTTTGTATAGGCGCGGCGCGCCACGCGCCGCGGGTGTGTTATTTTCTCATAGTACGAATTTTCTTGACTTTTTAATATCCAGATGTGGGTTTCGACCCCCGAACGCGATCCTGGCTTAATCCCTTGGGCTTTTACTCAGACTTCAAAGATCCAAATCACTTGAATTCATCCCGTAACATCTACATAGCTCGAAATCCTCCTACAAGACATAAAATACACAATTAGTGCAAAACACTAGCAATTAAAGCTCAAACTTAATTATAGTGCAGTAAATTTGAGTGCAATAAGCGACTAAAACACAAGATTATAGCCTACCATCACTAGAGTTATTTTGTTGCCAAGCATTCGTATTACCCTCAGATGAATTCCATGAAAAACTAGGGTGCTTTGACCCATTGCATTAAAATTGTAGTTTACTACAACATTCACTTCTTTAGTTGATACTTGACACTCATGAGTAGGGTGTCCTCTTCCACATATATCACAAGTTGCGTGAGGCTCATTTTGTATCGAGGCTAAGGCCAATTTTTGTATTTTTTAGCCATAACATCAAGCTGTACCTACACAGATATATTGGCATCAACTTGGTGAACACCAGTTGATCTTCTTATTTTAGCACTCTTAGAGGGCCACTGATTTGCATCTTCAGACAACTCATCAAGAATTGTAACTATCTCCTCTGGAGTCTTCTTCATCAACGGGCCTCCAGCTGCATTGCTCAATGTTCTACGTGAGGCTAGTGTCAATCCATCCCAAAAGTCCTAGAGTTGCATCTAGAGTTCAATTCCACTATGTTGACACTTTCTAACTATCTCCTTAAACCTCTCCCATGCTTCAAAAACAGTTTCAGTCTCTTTCGGGCAAAAGTTGTGGATTTCTATTCTAAACTTTCCTGTCTTAATTGAGGAGAAATATTTATCAAAAAAATTTCTGGTCATCTCCTCCCATGTTCTAATCGATCTTGTGTAAGATTCGAAACCACTGCTTTGCATCATTTTGAGTGTGAAGGGGAATGCCCTCAAGTACACTGCATCTTATGACACACTATTGTACTGAAAGGTGTTCATAATCTCCTCGAAGTACATTAGATGTGTATTTGGATCTTCGTTCATCTTCCCTCTAAAGACACATCAATTCTGAAGGGTTTGAAGCAACCCCTGCTTCAATTCAAAATTGTTAGCTGCAATTGGAGGTGGTCTCACACTTGATAATCCTTGGTTGTAGACTGATCTAGCATAATCGCTAAGTGATCTCCCAGGCATGGGAGGTATATTTCCGAATTGGTCTGCAGCCAAGGGTTGATTTTGAGCAATTTTACGACCCCTTTCTTCTTCATAGATAATCCGTGCATCTCTAATAGCTGCTTCCTCAACATCCCGTGTAACTTTTTCTTGTTGTTGTGCTGCCTCCCTTGTAGCCAAATCTACATTATCATCACCATTTCCAGTCATAAGTTCTTTAGTTGAGGATTGCCCAACCTTTTCTGATGTCTCAGTAATATTTCTTTCCTTCCCCAGTTGCCGAAGTTGTTTTTCTATCTCGGGTTCGTATGGTAGCACTTCTTTTGCAGAGGCTCGAGTCATGCACCAATCTAAACCTGTAGCCTACGCACAGTCAACGAACACCAAACGTAAAAAAAGAAAATTAAAATAAAATAAAAAGAAAAATTCCCGAATTAGCACTACAAACTATTTCAAATACTATTGATTGCCAATCCCCGACAACGACGCCAAAATTTGACGAACGCAAAATACACACTTAAATTCTGTTCGCTTATCAAATATAGTATAGTATAATATCGTATCCATATGGATTAGATTTAAACAATATTATCATAGTTTGTAGCTTGGTTGCTATCCAAGATGATCAACAGTTGAGATTTATAAGATATCTAACTAAAATTAACTAAGAAGATAAAGCTATTGACTAATGACAATCGAAATAAGGAATAAGCAAAGAAGGTTATCAATGGGAGAAGGTAGGGTTTTGATAGGATAGGTGCAAGATAATTGTTTGGTATCTAACTCTAGATAATTTATTTCTAATGTTTAAGTGAGTATCTCTAATTTACTCAATTATTAGTTCACACGTTCAGCAAAAACTCTTCTCTCAATTAAGTCTTAACTTCACAAGATGAACCAATTTAAGCACGTGAAGATATGCAAGAATGCATAGTGGATTGGTCTTTAGGAGAACCTCTCTCGATTATCCTCCTAAATAGGTTTAATCAATGATTCAACTAGCCTCTTTTGATTACTAAGAAGAATTAATGAACTTAACCAACAATATAATGCAAAGATATCACAAGTTATGCCTCTCTCGATTACATGAACAAATGAATATAAATGCAACAATTAAATAATCCAAAAAAGCTTCAATACATAAAACCAGAGTTATAATCCACAAACAATCATCAATACACCAAATCCATCAAACCCTAAAGAGAACTACTCCATAAATATGGAGCAATTCATCACAAATATAATTAAAGTATAGGAAAACATAAATTCAATCCAAACTCGGGTCTTGAGTGAGGAAGGAATGATGAAATCCTTGTGCTTTTGCTCCTCCAACTACTCCTTAGCTTCCTTAGGTCTAAAGTATGTCAAAAGTCTAGAAAATAACGTTTTCCCATATATTTATACCAAGTAGGGTTGGGCCCAAACGAAACCACCTTCTCCTAGCCGAAATAGGATTTTCAGTCTGTAAAGATTGCACAAGCGTGCCGCATGGGTCAATGCGCCATGCAGGGCATTAGTGGGGAAATCTAGAGAGTCAAAATCTATCAAGCAGCATGAAATAGGTAGCCGCGTCGCCCCACGCATCGCGGCAATGAGGTTTTCTCAAAGTACGGCTCAAACTTCAATTTTTGACATCCAGACTTGGACTTCGACCCCCGAACACGATCTCGGATTAATCCCTTGGGCTTTTACTCATACTTCAAAGATCCAAATAGCTCGAATTCATTTTATAACATCTACATAGCTCGGAATCACTCCTATAAGGCATAAAACACACAATTAAGTGCAAAACACTATCAATTATAGCTCAAACACAAATAAAGTGCAGTGAATTAGAGTGCAATAAGCGACTAAAACACAAGATTATAGCCTATCATCAATCATCAGATCCTGATACATGAAGAAGATGCAGAGAAGACAACGTTCACTACACATTGGGGAGTTTATTGCTACTGAGTAATGCTATCCGGCCTCAAGAATGTTGGTGCTACTTACATGAGGTTTATGACGACCATCTTCCATGACATTATCCACAAAGAGATCGAGGTATATGTAGATGACCTCATTACCAAATCTCGAAAGAGTGCAAAACATTTGGACGACCTGAAGAAGTTTTTCGAATGCTTGCGGAGGTATAATTTGAATTTGAATCCTGCAAAATGTGCATTCGTAGTCCCTGCTGGAAAACTATTGGGTTTCATTGTAAGAAGGAAAGGGATAGAATTGGATCCTTCAAAGATCAAAGCCATTCAAGATTTACCACTACAAGAGCAAAAAGGATGTGATGAGTTTCCTTGGTAGGCTAAATTACATCGGTAGATTCATAGCCCAGTCTACAGTAATTTGCGAGCCTATCTTCAAGTTGCTGATAAAGGATGCCGCTACAAAATAGACAAGAGAGTGTTAGAAAGTATTCAATAAGATCAAGGAGTACTTGTCAAATCCACTAGTGTTGGTTCCTTCCGAGCCCAGGAAGGCATTGTTGTTATACCTGTCGGTTCTGGATAATGCATTTGGATACATGTTTGGACAACACGATGAGACCGGAAGAAAAGATCATGCTATCTATTACTTAAGAAAGAAGTTTACACCATGCGAAGCCAAATACACTCTGATAGAGCTCACCTGTTGTGCTTTGACTTAGATAGCCTAGAAAGGCATTACATATCAGCACACATCACACGTCTAATATCCTGGCTCAACCCGCTTAAGTATATCTTTCAGAAGCCGTTGGACATAGGAAAACTTGCCAAATGACAGATTCTTCTCAGCGAATTTGACATTATGTACATAATGTAGAAGGCCATCAAAAGACAAGCCTTAACTGACCACCTTGTAGAGAATCTAGTGGCCAAGGATTATGAGCCGCTCACTACATACTTTCCAGATGAAGAGGTGTTGTTTGTTGGAGAAAAAATTGTAGAGTCACACCCAGGATGGAGAATGTTCTTCGAAGGAGCAGCAAATTTTAAAGGATTCAAAATTGGTGCAGTCTTAATTTCAGAATCGGGACAACATTATCCGGCATCAACGAAGATAAGGTTCCCCTGCACCAATAATATGGTCGAGTACAAAGCGTGCAACCTCGGGATTAGGATGGCGGTCGACATGAACATCAAGGAGCTTCTAGTCATAGGAGATTCTAATCTGCTGATACATCAAGTTCAAGGAGAATGGACTACCAAGAATGTCAAGATCCTTTCGTACTTGCACTGTGTAAAAGAGTTATGCAAGAAGTTCACAAAGATCGAGTTCAAGCACATTCCTAGGATCCAGAACGAGTTTTCTGATTCTCTCGTAACATTGTCATCAATGATCCAACATCCAGATAAGAATTACATCGACCCCTATTGAGATAGAGATCAGGGGTCAGCATGCATACTATTTCCATGGAGATGAAGAGCCAGACGATAAGACATAGTACCATAATGTCAAAAGGTTCTGTTAAATAAGAGAGTCCCGAGAGCGCCACCAAGGTTCAGATCGAGCACTCATAAGGACAGCCAATCACTTTTTCCTCAATAGGGAAGTCTTGTATAGGAGGACCCCAGACTTGGGTCTATTAAGATGTGTAGATGCTGCTGAAGCAACCAAATTGCTAGAAGAAATACATGCAGGAATATGTTGACCCCACATGGATAGCTTCACCTTAGCCAAGAAGATTTTAAGAGTTGGATACTTTTGGATGACCATGGAAAGCAAGAGTATCTGCTATGTGCAGAAGTTTCACCAGTGCTAGATGCACGGGGATTTCATCCGTGTTCCACCTAATGAGTTGAATGTAATGGGTTCGTTTTGGCCGTTTGCCGCTTGGGGCATGGACGTAATCAGGCCTATAGAACCTGCTGCATCAAATAGACACCATTTTTTCTTGGTAGCAATTGATTACTTAACCAAATGGGTTGAATATTCTACACACAAAGCCATCAGAAAGAAAGTAGTGGCAAATTTCATCTGTAACAACATAGTCTGCCGATTTGGGATACCTGAGTCAATCATTACTGACAATGCAGCTAACCTCAACAGTGATCTCATGAAGGAAATTTGTGAGAAGTTCATAATCAACCACTATAATTCTACAGCCTACAGATCGCAAATGAATGGAGCAGTCGAGGTAGCCTACAAAAAACATTAAAAGGATTTTATGAAAGATAGTGGAAAATCATAGGCAATGGCACGATAAATCATCCTTCGCCTTACTGGGTTATCAGACCACCATGAGAATATCCACTGGGGAAATGCCATACATGTTGGTATATGGCACTGAAGCTGTGATACCCGTAGAGGTCGAGATACCGTCTTTGAGAGTCATTCAGGAAGCCAAGTTAGATAATGCAAAATGGATACGGGTCAGGCAAGAACAACTTGTGCTCATTGACGTGGATGGAATGGACGCAGTGTGCCATGGTGAGCTGTATAAAAATAGGATGGCCAGTTAATTCAATAAAAGGGTGAAACCTCGCCAATTTACACCAGGGTTGTTGGTTTTGAAGAAAATATTTCCTCATCAAGAAGAAGCCAAAGGAAAGTTTGCAACAAATTGGTAGAGCCTTACGTGGTCAATCGAGTTTTGTTGGGAAGAGCTCTGATCTTGGAAGAGATGGATGGAAGAGTTAGCACAAAGCCTATCAACTCAAATACAATCAAGAGATACTACATTTGAAGATATTAAAGTTAGGTTTTGGTTGTAACAGAACTACCCCCGACCTGACTTTCAATAGAGGGATACGTAGGCATCCCATGTAGTGTCTGGTCTCTTTCCCCCTCTTTTGTTGTAATAGGAAATGCAAATATCATCTTTGTATGTATTCAGGACTACACCATGACTTGATTTCCTTTAGAAGGAATACGTAGGCAATCCTCATCGGATTTAATCATCTTTTGTAATTGAACTATGTTCTGGCCTGATTCCATTTAGATACGTAGGCAGTCTGAGTCATACTCGACCTCTTCATTTTCAATCTCATCATTTTGCATCTACTATAATTGAACTACATTTTGACCTGATTCCATTTAGATATGTAGGCTGCTTGAGTCAGGATCTGTCATCATCATAGTTTCTTTATCGTTGCCCATAAACTACATTCAAACCTGATTTCGTTTCGGATACGTAGGCAACCTAAAAGGTTCGGTCATAACCCTAGGAAAACCCTTGTAACTCATTAGTTTCAATTAGGATGCAATCACAGTAGTAAGAAGCCACATCATCAGAAGCATCTCAGAGGATCAACATCAACGGGACAAAGTCTTTCAAAAAAACAACGTTCGCGTTTGAGGAAATTTTCTAAACATGTCATAGTTCGGAACAACGACATTTTCCATAAGATAAATGATTTTCAAAATGTTTTATAAAAACTATCATTCCACCTACGAAATTTCATGTCATAACCCCACTAAGCCCGGGACAAAACCATTACTCTATAGTCGATACAAACCAACCCCCCACCCCCGGCTAAAAAGTTTTCTTTGAATGTAGGACCAACATGATGCAAGGAAACGCTGAAGCATGCTGGGGAAATGGTGGATCTGCCACTCTCTCATAACTATAATCTCTCTTTCATTATTCTAAATTTTCCTCATATAACTAAAAACTAACTCTCAAATCCTTTGCAGGTATTTCGGAACCAAGCCGCCGATGCAAGCAGAGCATATTGTAAATAGCAGACGATCTGCTTAACCAAGTGGAGCATGTTGTATATATCGAGCTACTGTCCCCGCTAATCGGAGCCATGTATATAGCAAAATGACTGCTCAACCAATTGGAGCATGTTGTATATAACGAGCCGCTGGCCCCGCCAACCGGAGCCATGTATATAGCTGTAACGACTCGACCGGTCGTATTGAGTATTACAACCCTGTTCCTCTATTTAATACTCAAATTATGCTTTACAGTTATTATATGCCTTGCCAGGATAATTGGTTCGGGTCTGGTGAGGACTTGGAATGAATGGGAACACTTAGTTCTAAAGTTTAAAACTTAAATTTAAAAAGTTGGCTGGATGTTGACCTATGTGTAAACGACCTTGGAATAACATTTTGATGATTTTAATAGCTCCGTATGGTGATTTTAGACTTAGGAGCGTGTTCGAAAAATTAATTAGAAGTTCGTAGTTAAATTAGGATTGAAATGGCTAAAATAGAAATTTAAGTTTGGAAGCTTGACCGGGGAGTTGACTTTTTGATATCGAAATCGGAATCCAGTTCTGAAAATTTTCATAGTTCCGTTATGTCATTTATGACTTGTGTGCAAAATTTGAGGCCAATCGAAATTGCATTGATAGGTTTCGGCATCGAATGTAGAAGTTGGAATTCGTTAGTTTTCGTTAAGCTTGAATTGGGGGTATGATTTGTGATTTTAGCAGTGTGTGATGTTATTTGAGGTTTCGACTAAGTTTGTATGATGTTTTAGGACTTTTTGATGTATTTGGTTGAGGTCCCGGGGGCCTCGGGTGAGTTTCAAATGGTTAACAGATCGAAATTTGGACTTAAACAACTGCTGGAATTTTCTGATGCCTGTATATGGTTTACTTCATCGCATTCGTGAGGGGAGTCTCGCGTTCGTGAAGAGGAAATTTGGACTGGCCCATTTTGTGCTTCGCGTTCGCGACCGAGGGTACGCGTTCGCGAAGGGTCGAGGGGCAAAGCAAAGTGTTCGCAAAAGGGAAAGTCGGCCCAGGCGAAGGAGGAAATTCGGGCAGCATAATTTTGTGCTTTGCGAACGTGAGGAAGCTTCCATGTTCGCGAAGAAGAAATGCCTGGACAGAAACTTTAAGTTCTGAAAATGGGATTTCGTCCCATTTTCCATTTTTGACAAATTGGAGTGCGGGAAGAGACGATTTTCGGGAGATGTTTAAGGAAAACAACGAGGTAAGTGTTCTTAACTCAATATTGGTTAAATTACCCGAATTCATGGTTATTTTTAACATTTAATAGGTGAATTGAGTTGGAAAATTTAGAAAAACCCTCTTGGTTTAATTTGAAAATTTGAGGGTTGAGTTGATGTCGGAATTTGGTAAAATTTGTATGGTTGGACTCGTGGTTGAATGAGTGTTCATATTTTGTAACTTTTGTCGGGTTCTGAGATGTGCGGACCACATGCGATATTTTAGTTAAATTTCGGATTTTTTTGGAAAATTAGTATTTTCATACGGAATTAATTTCAATAATTTGTATTAGCTGGATCGAATTATTTGTGACTAGATTTGAGGCGTTCGGAGGCCGATTAGCGAGGCAAGGGCATAGCGGAGTAAGAAATTACACGGTTTGAGGTAAGTAACGTTTCTAAACTTGGTTCTGAGGGTATGAATCCCCGAATTTTGTGTTATATATATTGTTTGGAGGTGACACACACGACAGGTGACAAGCGTGTGGACGTGCACCATAGAAATTGTGACTTGAATAAATCCTACGAAGTTGTAAAATTAAAGAATCATGTTATTATCCGAATATTCTCCATGCATTAGGAAAATGAGTTGAGACTCGTATTAAAGATCACGTTTAGGCTACGTGCCGATAATTTGGGACCTAAAGGGCCGTGTTGCTGTTGAATTTAATTATTTTAAAATATATATTTCATACTCAGTCATGTTTATCAATATTGAGGATATTTATGGGATCGGAACTGCCCGCCTGTAGCAGGCCATATCGGCTTTATATCATGCTTGAGCTGAAGGAGCCCCTTCGGAGTGTGCACCCCCATAGTAAGCATAGATGAGTTATATACGGCATGGACTTCCCAGGGCATGGACTTGCCTTACTTATTTATATTTGTGATAAATTTTCTTGGACACGAATCTTGTCTGAATCATTTACATTTGGGGATAAATTACCCCAGGGCTAGATTGGACTTATATGATACTGAGTGACTGACTGTCAGTCGATGCATATATTTATACGGCATGGAACATCCTTAGGCTGGATTGGCCATAAACAGCACCGAGTGCCCGAGTGATTAGTGATCGTGAGTACACGAGGTTTTCCACTGAGATGTCATATTCCTCATATCATATAGTATTGATCTATCTTACTTGTACTGAGTTTAACTGTTGAACTTGAAAGCATGCCTACATTTCTGTACCGTTATTTCTATACTGGACTGTACCTGTGGAGCTCGTCACTACTTTCAGCCCAAAGGTTAGTCTTGTTACTTATTGAGTTGGTTGCATTCATACTACACTCTGCACCTCGTGAGCTGATCCAGGTGCTTCCGGACACGTCGACTGTTAGATCTCAGAGTGTTATCAGTTGGAGACTATCAAGGTAGCTGCCTGGCGTCCACTGACCTTGACTCCCTTCCTTTCAGTTTTTGTACTGTTCTAAATTTTTAGACAGTGTTTTTAGCAGTCAGACTTTGT